GTCATACTAGATTAATGTCACAAGTGGGGGTACCTCATGGCTCAGGCTTAGGACCTTTGATCTTTTTCATTTATATCAATGCCATGGATGAAATTTGCTGATGATATTAATGTACTTGTTGCTATCTTGTGAATAGGATACTGCTAATTTACAAAAGGACTTTGGTCATTTAGTGAGTTGCGTGGATAAATAGGCAGACGGGTTTTAATTATAATATTAAATGATAACATGCAATACTTAGTATTTAAGTATAATTTGGATGGAAATAACCTTAACAGTGTATTAACCTTAATATTGTCAAATTCTTTACCTTCATCTTGCATCAACAGTAACCTCTTCAAGGAATGTCAAAAGATGCGAGACGAGATTTGTTTCATTTAGGGAAACCATGTTGAATATCCAACAAAATTCTAAACTTTGTTAAAGGATTTAGTAAGGAATCTTTTAGAAGACTTTCCACAACTGATATAAAACTAATAAGCCTATAATTACTGTGCGATAATATAGTTAGTGTAACTGGTAATTATTGGCTTCAATAGTCTTATCAAAATGTTTCCACAAAGTTAGTCACAATTTTTGTCTGATAATTTAACGGTGATTAGAAGGCATACAGCTGGATATTTAAACACCTTCACTGTACTTTGTCAAAAACCACGTGCTGGTTTGTTTACTCGTCAAAATAAGCGTAGTCGATATGGCCGCTGAAAGGTGTCCTTGTGTATTTATAGCTAGAAATGTAACTTCTGCAGTCGGTAAACAAGCACTAAAATAAATACGCTAATGAAAATTAGTGAAATTGAGATCAACTAAATACAAGTCTTCTTAATCAATAACCAAATATTAAAATTTTAAGACTAAATGTTTTAAAAATAGTCTTACATTAAAAATTTTAGGAACTTTATTTTTCTGAATATAAAGGTGTATAATGGCCTACATCCATTCTGATCACTGTAGGGAATCAAACATCAGATTTTAGCCTCGTAATCCTGCAGCTGACCAATTGAATCGATAAAATTTCGGAAACAAATCTAATTTTTGAAGCCAAAACGACATACTATTTAATTTCTTTTCCGAAGTTTAATGAAATTTGATTAAGCATGTTTACCAAAAAAAGTAGCACTCTGTAAAGGATAGTGTATACGTGTTTTATAGACTTTAGTTGGTGCCGGATTAAGAGAGTACAAGTCATGTAATTGTACGGAGACATCGACTATCCCCCCGAGTATGTTATATTAGGGAGTACAAGTCGTGTAATTGTACGGAGACATCGACTATCCCCCCGAGTATGTTATATTAGGGAGTTACAAGTCGTGTAATTGTACGGAGACATCGACTATCCCCCCGAGTATGTTATATTAGGGAGTACAAGTCGTGTAATTGTACGGAGACATCGACTATCCCCCCGAGTATGTTATATTAGGGAGTACAAGTCGTGTAATTGTACGGAGACATCGACTATCCCCCGAGTATGTTATATTAGGGAGTACAAGTCGTGTAATTGTACGGAGACATCGACTATCCCCCGAGTATGTTATATTAGGGAGTACAAGTCGTGTAATTGTACGGAGACATCGACTATGCCCCGAGTATGTTATATTAGGGAGTACAAGTCGTGTAATTGTACGGAGACATCGACTATGCCCCGAGTATGTTATATTAGGGAGTACAAGTCGTGTAATTGTACGGAGACATCGACTATCCCCCGAGTATGTTATATTTTACCTCCTTTTCTTTCATCTTAAAGTTTTGTTACTTTTCAGTTGAGTTACCTAATTGTTTTTTTTTACTTCACATTTAGAAAACAGTTTATAAGAGATAATGACTAAGTTTGTAACAAAATACAAGGTTGAGGCCGGGAAGGACGAGTGGGAGGAAAATGAGGGCATATTGGCTCATGTGATGAGATTACGCA